ACTATCTTCCTCTATCTTAATCCTCCTCATAATTTTTGTGTCATCAGCAAACAATGAGAGGAACGATTCTATACCTTCAGGGAGATTATTTATATATATCAGAAACAGTATAGGTCGAAGGACTGAACCCTTCAGGACTCCAATTGTGACGTCTCGCCAACCTGAGACCTCATCCCTTACAGTGACTCGCTGTCTTCTGTTGCTTAGGTACTCCCTTATCCAATGGAGAACCTTCCCTTTGACTCCTGCCTGCATCTCCAGCTGTTGCACTAGCCTCCTGTGTGTTACTGTGTCAAAGGCTTTTTGGCAATCCAAAAATATGCAGTCTGCCCACCCTTTCTTTTTCTTGCCTGATTTTTTGTTGCCTGGTCGTAGAATTCAATTAATCCGGTGAGGCAGGACTTGCCATACCTGAACCCATGTTGATGTTGTGTTACCAAGTTCTTTCGCTCCAGATGTTCCACTAGCTTTATTCGCACAATCTTCTCCATCAGCTTACATGGTATGCAAGTTAGGGACACTGGCCTGTAATTCAGTGCCTCCTGTCTATCCCTCTTCTTGTATATTGGGACTACATTAGTTGTCTTCCAAATTTTTGGCAGTTCCCCTGTTACCAGTGATTTGTTATACACTATGGAGAATGGTAGGCATAGTGCTTCTGCCCCTTCCCTTAGGATCTAAGGGTAGATTGCGTCTGGGACTATAGACTTTGTCACATCCAACTCTAGCAAGAGCTTCCTTACATCCCCACTGGTAATCCCAAACTCCTCTAGTGGTACCTGGTTAACTATTCCCTCTCTTATCTCTAGAACTTCTCCTTGCTCTAATGTGAAGACCTCCTGGAATTTCTTATTCGTTTCCTCACACTTCCTTGTCGTTTGTAGTGAATCTGTCTGCCCTTATCCTCAGTTTCATTACCTGTTCCTTTACTGTTGTTTTTCTCCTGATGTGGCTGTGCAGTAATTTAAGTTGCGTCTTGTCCTTGCTTGCTTGCTATGTCGCTTTCGTATTGCCCTCCTGCCTCTTTTCTCACCCTGACGTATTCATTCCTGGCTCTTTGGTATCCTTCCCTGCTCTCAAGTGTTCTGTTATTTCTATAGTTTCTCCACGCTCTCTTTTACTTAGTTGCTTTGCTAGTTTAAATCTCTGATTAAACCATGGATTTCTCATCTGCATTTCATTTTTTTAGCTTTTGGACTGGGACGAACTTGTCTGCTGTTTCCTTACACTTCTGCGTGATGTATTCCATCATGTCTTGCGCCGTCTTTCCCCTGAGCTCTGTTTCCCATGTTATATCTGTCAGAAATTTTCTTATCTCCAAATAGTTTCCCTTTTGGAATGCCACCATTTTGTTTTCAGTTCCCTTCTTTGAGTTCATAAACCCTTCTTCGACCAGATACTCAAACGTCAGTACACTGTACTGTGACCGCTCATTCATATAATATCACTCATATATATATAACCCACATATATCACACATATAATCCCACATAGTCAAATAGATGTATTGATAGATGGATAAATAGATGGAATAGATAGATAGAAAGATGGATAGACATTTAAATATACAGTCCACTTACTAAAATTAAAATTAAATATGTACTTAACCAAATAATCCCATATTGTCAAAGAGATGTATAGATTGATGGATGGATAGATGGATAAATAGATGGATAGATAGATGGATAGCTAGTTGAAAAGATAAATGGATATATAGATGGATATATAGATGGAGAGATATATGGACATTTTAATGGATGGATGCAAAGATGGAGAAATATGTGAATATATGGATGGATAAATTGATGGATGGCTAGATAGTTAGTTGGAAAGATAAAGAAATAGATAGATGGATTGGTAGACAGATGGAAGACAGGCAGAGCCTGACAATGGCAGGTATACCCAGAGTGCAGTATATATATCAGGAAGCAGTTTACATAATTGTTAAGGTGTCACACGTTACAGAACATGTAAAGTGACATGTGTGCGGAATATTTACTTGTGAAGGGAATATTTTGTTTTAAATATATTAGATTTCAATAGCATCAGTTTCAGTTAAATATTTGTTCAATTAAATTATATTTTATTATTTGGAAAATAGTGCACTGTATTTTTTAAAAACTCCACATAAATAATTCCTCACATATATGGGGGTATTTACATATATAAATAACTAAATTGAAATAAATCAGTTCCTTCTTATTATTGAGACTTCAGATTATTTAAATTAACTAAATTTGTTTTTTTTCTAATAAGGAAAATGAAAGTCAGTTTAGCTGAACAGGAGCTTTTGGTTTAGCTGGGACGCGTGTCAGTCACGTGAGCCCGACATCCCTCCTACCGACATGTGGCTATTGCGTCTCTCTCTGGGGACGACCCTTATTCTGGATAATACCAAACTCAGCTTCTTTGAGATTGAACATCAGACTATTGACAAGTTACATTATAATATAAATCACGAATATTGTTCACTTTATTCAATTACAAATTATTGCGATATTTTCGTCTAGAGTGCTTACCCCTGGGGCTGGTGTTTCCTACCTTCTAACCATACTCTCTGTAACTATGTGGCAACACTGTTTTTTAAGGAGTGAGTACGGGACTGAGGCACTTCCCTTGTTATGGGAGAGATCAGTGAGCAGTAGCATCATAGGAGTTACGTTAACACTAAAGAAAACCCAGCACGGCTACACTCGTGTGTCCCGCTTGGAAGTCCATGATGGAGCGTCTCATCTCCTTCGGCAGGGAGCATTCATGTCCCATAAAATTTTCTCTTATTTTACAACTTAAGGAAAGGTATTTACTTAAGGAGAGGTAAATACCTCTCCCGGAAGTTTCAGTTTCAGTTTCAGTTTCAATACCATAGGACTGGTAAGTCGGGAAGAGAAGGATGGGGGAGGCTGCAGAAATCTTGAGCGAGGAACTGGAGACGAGGTGAAGAGGTGAGATGAAAGATCGGTGACCCAACCACCATGGGTAAGAATTGCAGCTGATGCTGTAGTTTGGCTGTAGAGTGGAGTGTTCATTGTTGCTCGCTGATGTGTCTTGCTGGAGGCAGGGCTTCTCGTCGCGGTGTTCTTTAAAGCAGCTGGCAGTTGAGGGTTCATTACAGGTGTTGATGTTAAATCATTTCGTTATTGGTCTTCTTTTTTGTTGACAATTTCATCAAACTCTGATCTTTGGTCTTCTTCTTGGACTTGTCGGTCTTGGTCGTGGTAGACTGACTTGGTGCTGGCCTTGTGGTGCTATCGTTGGGGGTTGTTGGTGCGGTGTCTTAAAGGAAATCGGCAGCTGAGTAGTGACATATCCGTGAAGGAGGAGATGGTGTTCCAACAGACACGTCCTCATGCGATTCATCAAATGAGTGAAGAGCAGAGGTGGTAGATTGCGAAGATAGTGTTCTCGAAGGTTGAGTTCTTGAAGGTTGAGTAGCAGCAGTGGGTACTGCAGCAGAGGGGACTTCATAGTATAGACCCTCTACAGGGTCACACCCATGGCCATTGAAGCTGAATTCACCACTGGGACGGGTGAAGGGTTAGCAACAGCCGGAGAAACATGTGGAGCAGGAGCTGACAGTAAGTCTAAAAGCGTGGCCGCGTTCACAGTGATGTCACGGTTAGTAACTGGAATTGTAGTAGAAGTGGGAGGTCTCAGGAGGCAGACTCTTGCGAGCTGAAGGTACTACAACAGGATCTGAAGTCTGCATTGTAGTGGCGGAATCGTCGTCGGATGTAGAGTCGGCATCCTCCACAGGGTCAGTTGCTGGAGTTGAACCCGGAGTGTTGTAGACTTCTTCAGGAACAAAGAAGGTAGGGAGACCGTTCGCTTTGTAGAGAATTTTCAGGAGTCTCACAAATTCTCTGGGGTTAGTGCCAGCAGTCATTCTGGCCGTCGATATCAAAGCTTTTACTGTGCTAGACAGTGGTTGACCGGGATGGGGTGGAGGCGACAATGGCTGGTTCGATGTGTGGCTGGTTGGTTGGGAGCAAAGGCCCCCATTGGCTGCTAGTGGCAGTAGCAGTAGCAGTAGAAGTGGGTCGTCCTCCCGGAATCACAGGGAAAATGGCGGCTTGGACGTTGAAACCTGAAGTTGAGGTGGACGCTGATTGGTTGGTTGCACCAGGGGTGGTGGTTCCGGTAGAAGATGTGGTTTTTTCCATGTTCTGGGTGACTTCTTGTCTATGAGGACAACGAATGGAGATTGCAGGATGATCGCCTTTGCAAAGCAAACAGCATAGTGTCTCTGACGTGCTGATAGAATAATGGTGATCAGCTGAACAGAAGCTGCACTTCTAAATACTCTGGTTACATTTGCTGGTGGAGTGAGTGTACTCGTAGCACCGGAGGCACTGGTTGACCATGTGGAAACGTTCCATCTTCACACGGAATGGAGGAATGTGAATACCGAAGCTGTAAACGCCATTTCTGGTAGCCAGAGTAGCCGAATCAATGGTCCGGAAGGTCTGCTTCAAGGAGCAATATCTGTTGAAGAAGTTAGCTTTATGGAGCTGTAAGCCCGGGTTGGAGTCAGTGAAGTCGGTCATGAATGCGCTTTCATCTGCTAGATCTTGATCAGCGATCCATTGGCTGAGATCGTGAACAATGACAGAGCGTGCAGCCAGGTACTGACGTGGGAAATTGAGACCGGAGGTGATGTCTGAGAGAAGTGGAGGTGTAGAACAGAACTTTGTCAACTTTCTCATCACTCTAAAAGTAGCAGAGGATGTCCGTGCCTTCCTGTCTGATGTCGTTAGGTGTCACTCCCGCAACTTCTTTAAATAGCTTCAGGAGGGATGTCTTGGAGAACGGGTGCTCGTCAAGGAGCGTTCCCCGGATCCTGTAGCGTTTGTGGCCCATGGTGAACTTCCTGGTAGCCGATGGGTCTCTCTCTCAAAGATTACACGTCACTGGAGATGGCCTCCCGTCTCTACCCGGCATAAAACACCAAGTTAGGAGTGGGGTCTGACCATCTAGAGAGACGCAAGTCTTCTGCCAATTATTTACCCACCCTGCAGCGCTAGGAACGGGAGAGATCGTGATCTGTGATGTGATCGTGATCTGTGATGTGATCGTGATCTGTGATGTGATCGTGATCTGTGATGTGATCGTGATCTGTGATGTGATCGTGATATGTGATGTGATCGTGATTTGTGATGTGATCGTGATCTGTGATGTGATCGTGATCTGTGATGTGATCGTGATCTGTGATGTGATCGTGATCTGTGATGTGATCGTGATCTGTGATGTGATCGTGATCTGTGATTTGATCGTGATCTGTGATGTGATCGTGATCTGTGATGTGATCGTGATCTGTGATGTGATCGTGATCTGTGATGTGATCGTGATCTGTGATGTGATCGTGATATGTGATGTGATCGTGATCTGTGATGTGATCGTGATCTGTGATGTGATCGTGATCTGTGATGTGATCGTGATCTGTGATCGTGATCTGTGATGTGATCGTGATCTGTGATCGTGATCTGTGATGTGATCGTGATCTGTGATGTGATCGTGATCTGTGATGTGATCGTGATATGTGATGTGATCGTGAACTGTGATGTGATCGTGATCTGTGATCGTGATCTGTGATGTGATCGTGATCTGTGATGTGATCGTGATATGTGATGTGATCGTGATCTGTGATGTGATCGTGATCTGTGATGTGATCGTGATCTGTGATGTGATCGTGATATGTGATGTGATCGTGATATGTGATGTGATCGTGATCTGTGATGTGATCGTGATCTGTGATGTGATCGTGATCTGTGATGTGATCGTGATCTGTGATGTGATCGTGATCTGTGATGTGATCGTGATCTGTGATGTGATCGTGATCTGTGATGTGATCGTGATCTGTGATGTGATCGTGATCTGTGATGTGATCGTGATCTGTGATGTGATCGTGATATGTGATGTGATCGTGATCTGTGATGTGATCGTGATCTGTGATGTGATCGTGATCTGTGATGTGATCGTGATCTGTGATCGTGATCTGTGATGTGATCGTGATCTGTGATGTGATCGTGATATGTGATGTGATCGTGAACTGTGATGTGATCGTGATCTGTGATCGTGATCTGTGATGTGATCGTGATCTGTGATGTGATCGTGATATGTGATGTGATCGTGATCTGTGATGTGATCGTGATCTGTGATGTGATCGTGATCTGTGATGTGATCGTGATCTGTGATCGTGATCTGTGATGTGATCGTGATCTGTGATGTGATCGTGATATGTGATGTGATCGTGAACTGTGATGTGATCGTGATCTGTGATGTGATCGTGATCTGTGATTTGATCGTGATCTGTGATGTGATCGTGATCTGTGATGTGATCGTGATCTGTGATTTGATCGTGATCTGTGATGTGATCGTGATCTGTGATGTGATCGTGATCTGATCTCCCGGAAGGAGAAGTATTTAAATTTTCTATATTTAAATTCTTTTTAGTTTTATTTTAATCTAATAATTTATTTTGTAAACAGTCGTCAGACTGTATGTATTAAAATATAAGTACAGACATAAATACGTTTGATATTCTGTAAGTTCGTGACGCAGCCATCACGTTTTCTCGATAGTGAATGGAGGAATTAAATACGATTCTTTCTGTTTCGGATAAATCTAACTTAATTTTATTTGGTAAATTATACACAGCAACGAAAAGTATCTTTATCTGGTGTTTATTTAATTAATTAAAAGATATATAAATTAAATTGAACCAGGTGAGGAAATTTTTCCACAGCATGCAACATAACATACTTATGGCATAACACAATACTCCACGATTAAAACATATCGCACGACATCCTATATTGAATATATAAAACTGAACCTATGGTGTCATGCATTACAAAAATCATATGATGCCCCAAAACAAACTTCACATATTATATCAAACAATACACCACCTTAATCTGTGATTTTCACTGACTGTTGGCTGTATTATAACAGCTTGGTAATTGTTATTGGTTTAGCTTACATGACTGCCAGACCCAGCATTGTGCATTATCGTCTTGTACCGTGTATGGGTACTGTTTATACGAATCTGTATGATCTGGGCTGGGTTGATTAGATAGGATCACTCCTGTTGCAAGATCCCACATTTTTTTAATTGGTTCCAACTACCCTCCTCACTCGTCTGGGTGATTTGTAATTGGTACTGATCTGCTCTTATTTAAGGAATTATCACAGTTGCTGGTTTAACAGAATCTACAGGAGGCGATGAGTTAAACCTCACTACCAGACCTCTCATTAATTTTTCTCTTGCAGAAGGTATGAGATTTATTCCTTGCATTCTCTTTTTCGAGAGAATGTAATTGTTTAATAGTCAGATCCACCAGAACACCAGTGGCCTTGATGTTAGAATGGACTTACAGTTCATCCAATTTCACCCCATTTTTTCAATGATGTCTTGCAGTCGCCCAAGACCAATTACGTGTAGGTCAATCAGGATTTTGTCAACAACAATGGCATACACCAGTACGGACATATGGCTTCCCCACACCATAAGCCTATAGTCCTGAATTAGTAAGAAACCAAGAAATGTTTAATGTTACCTGAGTAATGGGGGATTAATTTAATGCCTTCTGTCGCCCCCATTGGCAATGAATGTCTAATGGGAGTCTTTATCAAACAACTTTCTAATATTTTTTAGCTCCTTTATGACTAATTAATTATGTTGGTTGAAAGTTTTCAACTGCATTAGCCTTGAACAACAAGGCATTAATATTATCGTCTACCTTACAGTATTTGCTCTAAGGTAGCACCAACATATTCACCCCTTCTGTGTCATAAGTTGGCAAGCATCTACTGCACCGCTGCAAGTGCTGTACACGACTGATATGGTTTGATAATCTGGGTAGGTAAAGCCTCTGTATATTAAATGATCCTGCTTGTAAAACAAATAGTTCCATCCAACTGTGGCACTAATTGGAGACTCAAGCTTTCAGTGTACAGATAAAATAACAGGTAAAGATTGGAACACCAGAGAGTTTCCCATGCTACCTTGCTTCCCTTTAAAATCTGCAGCCTTTGGATTGTAATTAGCGTGGGTTTGTCAGGGGTTATCTTGAGATGATTTCGGGGCTTTAGTGTCCCCGCGGCCCGGTCCTCGACCAGGCCTCCACCCCCAGGAAGCCAGCTGACTAACTCCCAGGTACCTATTTACTGCTAGGTAACAGGGGCATTCAGGGTGAAAGAAACTTTTGCCCATTTGTTTCTGCCTCGTGCGGGAATCGAACCCGCGACACAGAATTACGAATCCTGCGCGCTATCCACCAGGCTACGAGGCCCCCCTCGTCACCTGACTGAGTTTGTCATGTGGCTTAATTTTGTCAAAGGTTCGCAAGATTGATAGCTGGTTTTAGACACTTTGGCTTTCTCTCTGGGTAAGAAACGCTTTATTAAGGTGTGAGCAAATAGTTGTTAGAATGTCAGTAGGTACTTTTCACTGTATAATTAGTTTTAAAAACCTCTCAGCTTCAATAATGTTGATATATGTGCAGAGGGAACTTAATAATGACTCCACCTTAAAACGAAAACTCTGTATGGACTCTGCATTGTTGGTTGGTGGAGGCAAGTCTAGCAGGTGGAAAGTAAGATGGTCATAAACAGTTAAGCATTATAATGTTTCCACCTTAGTAACTTGACTACTTTATGGTGACTATCATCGATGTGGTTTATATTTACTATCACAGACTTAACTTTCACTTCCAGAGGCTCTTTCAAATAGGTAAACTTAGTTATATTACTTATGTTAGTTTGGCGATTATACATGTGGAGGAATTCCCCAAATTCCTTCCAGTTTCGCCAATTTTCCTTTCAACGGTGGTTAAATTAGATGTGGGGAGGATTTACATTCTGTTGTGCTTTAATATTATTTAATTTATGGAACTTGGCTTGGACATTATTCTCATACTGAGCCAAGCTGTATTGAATATGATCGAACTGATTAGTTACTGACTTGTCAACTGGGACTTTCTTCATATAGTTTGCAGCTGCATCGTTCACTTCCTGGAACATGTTTTATGCTACTTGTGAATTACTGTCCAGTAACGCAAGACTCATGTTATGATCAGTTGCTAACTGTTCGCACTTATATAATTACCATGTCAAGTGATTCTTAACCCTTAAGTTTAACAAATAGGTGGGGGATGGGGCTCGTTACATATAAATAAGATAAAGCTGACTTGTGAGTCCTCATCTCCTCGAGCACTCGTCCAAGTTCATGTACAGTGACGGAATGGGTCTAAAAATAATGAATGCCAGGAGACAAAGGGGCCACCCACAGCTATTAGGCGGTCATTTAATTTTATAAGAAAAAATACGTAAGTGGGAAAAAGGTACAATCTTTTTTTTTTTAATTAAATGTATAATTTTTAGTAATTATATTGCGCTCTGGTTGTCACTCAAGGTGCTGCGAAGTCTGCAAACTAAGTCTGATTCTGGTCTGTCTTCCTGGCTACTGGCTATCCTTCTCTGTCTCTTAGTAATATGGACTTAGAATCCATATATATATATATATATATATATGCAAACAAGCCTGAATGGTCCCCAGGACTATATACAACTGAAAACTCACACCCCAGAAGTGACTCGAACCCATACTCCCACAACTGGTATGTACAGGGACGCCTTAATCCGCTTGACCATCACGACCGGACATAAGGAAGTGATAGCCGAGGCTATATGAACCACTTCCCCGCCGGCACTCGGATGGTAATCTTGGGCATAGCATTTTATCAAATCACCTCATTCTTTGGGGCACACGTGAGGAACACAAATGCAAACAAGCCTGAATGGTCCCCAGGACTATATACAACTGAAAACTCACACCCCAGAAGTGACTCGAACCCATACTCCCACAACTGGTATGTACAGGGACGCCTTAATCCGCTTGACCATCACGACCGGACATAAGGAAGTGATAGCCGAGGCTATATGAACCACTTCCCCGCCGGCACTCGGATGGTAATCTTGGGCATAGCATTTTATTTCATTCGAGTGCCGGCGGGGAAGTGGTTCATATAGCCTCGGCTATCACTTCCTTATGTCCGGTCGTGATGGTCAAGCGGATTAAGGCGTCCCTGTACATACCAGTTGTGGGAGTATGGGTTCGAGTCACTTCTGGGGTGTGAGTTTTCAGTTGTATATAGTCCTGGGGACCATTCAGGCTTGTTTGCATTTGTGTTCCTCACGTGTGCCCCAAAGAATGAGGTGATTTGATAAAATGCTATGCCCAAGATTACCATCCGAGTGCCGGCGGGGAAGTGGTTCATATAGCCTCGGCTATCACTTCCTTATGTCCGGTCGTGATGGTCAAGCGGATTAAGGCGTCCCTGTACATACCAGTTGTGGGAGTATGGGTTCGAGTCACTTCTGGGGTGTGAGTTTTCAGTTATATATATATATATATATATATATATATATATATATATATATATATATATATATATATATATATATATATATAAATATATATATATATATATATATATATATATATATATATATATATATATATATATATATATATATATATATATATATTAGTATATTTTGGTAGTCTTTCTGTCTTTCAAGCAGTCTTTCCTGTAGACATATATTATTAAATATGACCGAAAAAGTAAGATTAATAATTCTAACACGAATTTTCTCAATCTTTCGTACATTTCTTTTCACTGTTGGTGGTAATTCAAAAATCAATTCTCCAAAATTGAAATAAAAGAAATAAAAATGAATTTTGGAGAATTGATTTTTGAATTACCACCAACAGTGAAAAGAAATGTACGAAAGATTGAGAAAATTCGTGTTAGAATTATTAATCTTACTTTTTCGGTCATATTTAATAATATATATATTTATATATATATATATATATATATATATATATATATATATATATATATATATATATATATATATATATATATATATATATGCGAACAAGCCTGAATGGTCCCCAGGACAATATGCAACTGAAAACTCACACCCCAGAAGTGACTCGAACCCATACTCCTAGGAGCAACGCAACTGGTATGTACAAGACGCCTTAATCCACTTGACCATCACGACCGGACATAATGAGGTGATAGCCGAGGCTATTTGAACCACCCCACCGCCGGCATTCGGATAGTAATCTTGGGCATAGCAATTTACCAAATCACCTCATTCTTTGGGGCACACGTGACGAACACAAATATATATATATATATATATATATATATATATATATATATATATATATATATATATATATATGTATATATATATATATATATATATATATATATATATATATATATATATATATATATATATATATATATATATATATATATATATATATATATATATATATATATATATATATATATATATATATATATATATATATATATATATATATATATATATATATATATATATATATATATATATATATATATATATATATATATATATATATATATATATATATATATATATATATATATATATATATATATATATATATATATATATAATATATATATATATATATATATATATATATATATATATATATATATATATATATATATATATATATATATATATATATATATATATATATATATATATATATATATATATATATATATATATATATATATATATATATATATATATATATATATTAGTATATTTTGGTAGCAGTCTTTCCTGTAGACATATATTATTAAATATGACCGAAAAAGTAAGATTAATAATTCTAACACGAATTTTCTCAATCTTTCGTACATTACGCTTCACTGTTGGAGGTAAATCAAAAATCAATTCTCCAAAATTCATTTTTATTTCTAGTCTGACGCGACACGGGCGCGTTTCGTAAAACTTATTACATTTTCAAAGACTTTAGTTCACAAATACACAATTGATTAGAACTTACGTATCTCCGATTTTATATCTACATTTGAGTGAGGTGGGAGGGGTGATGTGGCATTAACACAAGACAGAACAAGAGGGGATATTAATAGGGTATTAAAAGTATCAACACAAGACAGAACACAAACAATGGGTATTGAATAGAAGTGTTTGTAGAAAGCCTATTGGTCCATATTTCTTGATGCTTCTATATTGGAGCGGAGTCTTGAGGTGGGTAGAATATAGTTGTGCAATAATTGGCTGTTGATTGCTGGTGTTGACTTCTTGATGTGTAGTGCCTCGCAAACGTCAAGCCGCCTGCTATCGCTGTATCTATCGATGATTTCTGTGTTGTTTACTAGGATTTCTCTGGCGATGGTTTGGTTGTGGGAAGAGATTATATGTTCCTTAATGGAGCCCTGTTGCTTATGCATCGTTAAACGCCTAGAAAGAGATGTTGTTGTCTTGCCTATATACTGGGTTTTTGGGAGCTTACAGTCCCCAAGTGGGCATTTGAAGGCATAGACGACGTTAGTCTCTTTTAAAGCGTTCTGTTTTGTGTCTGGAGAGTTTCTCATGAGAAGGCTGGCCGTTTTTCTGGTTTTATAGTAAATCGTCAGTTGTATCCTCTGATTTTTGTCTGTAGGGATAACGTTTCTATTAACAATATCTTTCAGGACCCTTTCCTCCGTTTTATGAGCTGTGGAAAAGAAGTTCCTGTAAAATAGTCTAATATGGGGTATAGGTGTTGTGTTAGTTGTCTCTTCAGAGGTTGCATGACTTTTCACTTTCCTTCTTATGATGTCTTCGATGAAACCATTGGAGAAGCCGTTATTGACTAGGACCTGCCTTACCCTACAGAGTTCTTCGTCGACTTGCTTCCATTCTGAGCTGTGGCTGAGAGCACGGTCGACATATGCGTTAACAACACTCCTCTTGTACCTGTCAGGGCAGTCGCTGTTGGCATTTAGGCACATTCCTATGTTTGTTTCCTTAGTGTAGACTGCAGTGTGGAAACCTCCGCCCTTTTCCATGACTGTTACATCTAGAGAGGGCAGCTTCCCATCCTTTTCCATCTCGTAAGTGAAACGCAGCACGGAACTCTGCTCAAATGCCTCCTTCAGCTCCTGCAGATGTCTGACATCAGGTACCTGTGTAAAAATGTCGTCAACATACCTGCAGTATATGGCCGGTTTCAAGTTCATGTCGACTAAGACTTTTTGCTCGATGGTACCCATGTAGAAGTTTGCAAACAGGACACCTAGGGGAGAACCCATGGCGACCCCATCTACTTGCTTACACATGTGCCCATCCGGGCTCAAGAAGGGTGCCTCTTTAGTACAAGCTTGGAGTAGTTTCCTCAGAATATTTTCTGGCATGTCAAGAGGAGTACAGGCTGGATCACGATACACTTTGTCGGCTATCATTCCGATTGTCTCGTCCACAAGTACGTTGGTAAACAGCGATTCTACGTCCAACGAGGCTCTTATCTCTGTGGCCCGTGTGCCCCGCAGTAAGTCAACAAATTCCTTTGGAGACTTCAGGCTGAAGGCGCAAGGAACATAAGGAGTCAGCAGGCCATTGAGTCGCTTCGCCAGTCTGTACGTGGGTGTGGGTATCTGGCTAATGATTGGCCGAAGTGGGTTTCCAGGCTTGTGCGTCTTGACATTTCCATACGCATATCCATGTTATGCGTATGCCTCCCTCATGTCGTGGTGCCGGAAGGAGCCTAATTGATCGTGCAGCTAAGCACATTAAAGATCTTCCCCTATGCAACGTATTGTTACTTTATGAATGATTAGAAAGTATTAGTAAGCAAAGTTGGTGCCTATGTTATTATTTAATAATCAACCCCCAGCTCAGTCTTTAAATGCTCTTTGAGAAACAATAATAGTCTTACGTCTGGCAGGGAAGATACAAACAATTGCCATTCGAAATGCGCCAACTGTACTACTAGGAAGTTTAATAGCTCAATTTTGACCTCTGGTTTCCACTGGAGAACCCAGGGTTGTAACACTCCTCCCCCCTTCAGAGAAAAAAAAAATGTGACTACTAGAATAGTAGTCATATTTTTTTTTGTAAGAGTATACAGAGAACAAAAAGAAAAACATATGACA